TCATTTTAACAGCGCTTTATCCCCAACTGGAACAAAAACAACTTTCCTAGAACACTCCTTCAGACGCATGCTAGTCAACCTGTAGACAGCCTCTTGTGCAGACACATCTCTATTGTGTACATATACACTTCCTAAATTTTTAAGCGCGTCTTTAGCACTGCCATTCCCCTCTCTAGCTGCTTCCCTTTGTGCATTCCCCAATAATAATCCCATCTCACGCTCGGCTTTTGAAATGTAGGAATTAATGTACACTACACAAGCATACGCGTCAACAACATATTGGATATCAATATTCGCATTCCAATATTTTAAAAGTGGTTTGCTATATTGATTAATCCAAACCTCATTAGCTTGCCTTCTTAAAACAACGTGCGTCTTCTTAGCGCAAATATTGTACGCTTTCTCAAATATCCGTTGATTTATGCGTAAATAACAATTGCTCTACACTGTCAAAACTGGCATTGTCATCTGAAAGGGCCATTTTATTTTTTGTTGTAATGTTCACTGCCAATGCTTTTTGTTCTAATTTTTTCTGTTTCCTAATTTTGCATGCACAATCTGCCAATTTTTGTGCTCCATCTTTCTGACATGTGCATGTTTTATCTTCCTCGTCTTCAATAGGCGGGCGAGATATAAAAGTTCTCGCAGACGGAGGCTTAGGAAAATTAAAACGACAAACAGTTCTATTTTTTCTATGTTTTAGAATGCCGTTTGGAATGCTTTTACACAGATGAAACTATGTCCAATAGTGTCTCATCTTGTGCAGGTAACTCACATGTTACATAATTATCAATAAATTGAATTACCTCTTCATCAGTATTTTTATCAATTATTGGCGCATTTTCTATCCAAAACAGGCAGTGAACATGTGGTGAACCACGTTGCTGGAATTCAACCCTATAGAAGTAATCTATTATTTTGCCAATGGGATTAGATGGAGCCAAAAAACAATTCCAGCGAAAATCAAACATCCTCGCTGCAGTAACAGGATTACGCCGCAAAAGTTCACATCTATCTGCCCACTCCAGCTCTTCGGCCGTCTCTGTCCTACCTTCCTGTTTCAAAATGCTATTCAAAAGATTCTTCCACCGCATATCAGCAGAAGAAAAAGAACAAAACCACGTCGGGATCCCCAGCTGACGAACACAAGCTAACAAATCACGCTGCACGCCCTGCCAAAAAGATGGGGTACCTCTAATAGGTTTAAGAAAGCGATACCCATCATCAAACTGCAACAACTGCTTTAATTGTTCCTCATCATTTAATACATTTGTGGTTATTTTTTAAAACTGCCCTCCTTTTCCCTTCCGTATTGCTATTGATACATTTGACACAACCTGTTGAACCTCAGACATGTACTGAGCAAAGAAGATATAATCAACATTTTGTGCAAATCTACTATCAGCATGTAAAATACGATTATTAAAATAACGGCACAAAGTCAAGCGATGAGGTCTGCTGTCATGGTACGTCCCAGATCCCGCCGGAAACAACATTTTGCTTCATTTGAATGATCAGACAACAACTTGACAGGAGTGTTGCATTCTGCTGGAGCTAAATTTAATTGTTTAGTTTAGTCAAAATATTGATCAAGTGCTTCTTGACCAATGTCAACAGGCATAAGACAGGTGTCCTGAAACATACAATGTTGTTGTCTGTCATGCAGAAGCTCACCTTCCTCTGCAGCAGCAATACTGTCATCATTACCATTACCATCTACTGCTGTACTATCCTTTCTGCCACACTCTCTTGTTCCCTACAAAACTCATTTAACCACACTTCATTAAAATCTACATCCTTATAATACACATTAGTCCGTTTCAAATCCTGCAAAGCCTGCTTGATGCGCATAGTATTAACAAACTGGTACTCATAATGCCCTTTGTATGTAAGCTTGCGCTTCAGTTTGACAGGTAGCAAAGATCCATCCATGTCTGAACGCGGCAGCAAATTGCTCGTCTGCACAATATTAGCAGGAACACACGTTACAGGCCCATGGACGCCATTTTGCCCACCTTTAGGCAACACCAGTAGCTTCATGAATGGAATATGCAGCGCAATTAAATGTTGCTCTAAAGTATTCAAGCATGCCAATTCTGGTGGAATACAACACGTTGCCAAATTATTTAAAGCAGATTCAGGTGGCGTAATACCTCTACTAATTTTATTGTGACAGCTAAAACAAATCCACAACTGACCCCTAGCTGTATCCAACCACTGACATGGCAATACACAATCTGTACTACATTTATGCAAATACTCTTCACTAATACATCTATCTGCAATTAAACCGATTTCTTTTCTTCTACTATAATCCTTCCTTCTACAAGTTAAAACTTGATGACGAAACAACCCTCTAAAGCACACACAACAGACAAAATCCGGTCCATCATTTACTTTAGCCAAAAACTGCTTCATAACTAAATCAAACTCATTCAATGTTGCTTTTATACATTGCATCCTCAATTTGGTACATGCGATAACACGCTGCCTATGCTGAAGATTTTGACGGTATTTTATTGTACGCATTCTCTTTACTCTGTCCCTGTGTGAAACATTTGTCCAATATTTAGTTTTACGCATTTTCTTTACTCTGTCCCTGTGTGAAAGATTTGTCCAATATTTATTTTTACTCCTTCAATTTTTCCTTGTACCAATTTTTTTCCCTGATAATTCATTTTCATCTTTTCTAGAAATGTTTGCCTGTTTTACTGATATTTGATTTGTTTCTGCAACTTCTTTTTCCTTACAAAGTACTTAGATGGAGACTTAACATTTGAGCTAAGAGGCAACTTATTTGGGGATTGGGCTTTTACAGATAATGTACTACACTGCTGTTCCATTACATTTTGTTCAATAATTTCTACTTCAGCTTTACAACTTGACGAAGCAACTGAAGTCAAAGTGTCTGCACAAACACTACGCTCTCGGAAATTGTACCTAGACCCACCCACTTTGCAATACCCATAGCAAGACTGCACGTTTGGCTGCTGAACACAAACAACAGTCTCATAATGGTTACCATTGCAATTTTCTAAATAAATTCCCTGATTTGACAACGGTCTGTACTTACAACTATATTCAAGCCAGCGATTGTCACAGTAAGTGAATATACTAACTCCCAGAAAATCTGCTGCTGCTTGAATCTCTACTTCAGTGGCCCAACTACCGACATAGGCCATGTTTGACACACTGAGATATTCCTCCATTGAAGAATACTCAGTTCTCAAAATACCACCATTAGCTTTCAAATGCTTAACTAATGCAAGTCTAATTTTCCTGTGATACTTCTGTGTACCACAGACAGCCTGACTAACTGCTCTAAAGAAACAGTTACCATCCCCAACTATTTTCTCCTTCAGACAAGGAGCACCCAACGGACCAACTTCTGTAGAAACTAAATCTACTTTCTCTGACTCAACATTTAACCGTTTGCACAGAATGTCTACAACTTCCCCACTAAGTGGATTAAACTGGAGCCCTTCACTCACAATATCAGCTACAAAAACCACATCTGAATCAACTGCAGCAAAATCACTGTTTTTTACGCTTAATACTTGTGCAGCCAACCGTTGGCTGAACAGGTAAACTACAACCCGACTGACTTGCCCTGCGTTCTACTACTACCTTTGGACCGGATAACGAATTACTGGGTGGAACTGGACATCTGGGGATTACACAAACACCAGCAATCTCAAATTGTTTGGGAGGTTTTAATGCTGTTGCAAATTTGCAGATGTGCCCAAAAACATCATCTAGGCAAGTGAAATACACAACAACACTTTTCCCTTCCCCATCCACCATCCCATCCGCACTGCGCGCATGCGAATCAACCACAGCAAAACGACCACCTTCACCAATGATTGCACATGTATTTCCACCCAATGTCAGAAAACATGTGTGATATTTACTAAACATCTTATCTAATCCAGATCTGAGACTGGTGATTACACCAGCATCAATCAGATCACCTGTCACTACATCAATATATCCAGAAACACAATCCCCATACTCAAAGTCAAATGTCTGTCCATCAGTAACAGACTGTCGGGGCAAATCTGGAACACTAAGCAGTTCCGAAACCTCCTGGTCACATTGCTGTCCCTCAATTTTTTTTTTTAAAAAAAAAAAATTTTTTTTTTTTTTTTTTTTTTTTTAAAAAATTTTTTTTTTTTTTTTTTTTTTTTTTTTTATTAATTAAATTATAAACATAAAAATTTGAATTTTAAAGGGGGGGATTTGGTTTTGGGAAAGGGAAAGAAAGAAAATTTTTTTTTTTTTTTATTTATACCCCCCCACCCTAGCTGTGGTTTTGATGTTGTTATAAAAATTTTTTTTTTTTTTGTAATTTGTATTGTAATTTTTGTGTTAATATGAATTTCCTTTCCCACAAAAAAGGTTGTTATTATCTCCCCCCCTCCCCCCCAAAAATTTTTTAAAAGGTTTTTTTTGTTAATTCGGGGTCACGCGGGGGTGTGGTGAAAACAGCTACAAAAAAATTAGATGCCAGCCCAGATGCATCACAAGTCCCAGAATCAACTACCACAAAGTACTTATTGTGATGAATAATCGCACTGACTGAACCTTCGAGGTTCAACAAACACATTCCATCACTCGGCAAAGTTTCCTGTAGCTGTTCATACATCACACTGTCGTTATCCAAAAACCCAAAATCTCCGTACACTGGCGAGGTAACGTCTACCTTCCACTTCCTGCCAAACACACTACCCTGTTCAATCAACTTACACAGTTTAATCTCAACACTGTCCTGGATTCCTTCAGCAACTAAACTGGCCAACTTGCAGCCTTCTGCACAGATATCATCAATATCTTTCCCTCGCCATGTACAAACCGGAGCAATTGCATGTTTTATCGCAGCTACAGCACTACCGCTATTGATACATTTACATCCTGAGTTAATGGTGCTGCTCTGAGTTTACCGGAAACTACTAGTACTATTGGCTCGTTTTCTAAACACCTGCAAGAAATTGGGTTAGCGTCTACTCATCTTTGACAGATCTTGGTGTGCTGACTTCCTCCTCGTCAGCTGTGGCAGGTGATGGCACTGGGAAGGCATCCACCACGCCTGGTGTCACCGGGGCCTAAAGAAAAACAAAAAGAAAAAAACTTGTATTTGTTACTTACATGTTACTTAAAGTAACTCACACAGAATTAAACTGAAATGAGGTCTTGTCATTTCAACATACACTTGTGAACCTTAAAGTTGTGTTGTATTTAACTTTAATATATACTGTATCAACAAGAAAACAGCTTTGCATGCACCATTTAAAACACATTTGTGAAATGTGTGATATGACATGCACCAACCTCCTCCTCCACAGCCGTGGCAGGTGAAGGCTCTGGGGATGTGTCCAGCACGCATGGTGTCACCTGAGCCTAAAAGAGACACACACACACACACACACACACACACACACACACACACACACACACACACACACACACAACACACACACACACACACACACACACACACACACACACACACACACACACACACACACACACACCATTAACAATGAAATACCTTTGCATTCTCCATTTAAAACACATGTGTAAATGTATGGTGTAGCATGCACCAACCTCTGCAGCAGCAGCAACCACTTTCACAGGACTGGCAGGTGTGGGACGGGGACACACCTCCACAACACTGGGTGTTGCCTCAACCTGAAAAACAAAACCAACACAAAATGTAACTACAAAAACGAAATGTAAAGTTGCCATGTATTTTCTAACGATCTAATTAACAGACGAAATACAGCAAACACAAAGTATTAAATTATTGCTGCCTGTCTGTCAAACTGTACAAACCAGTAAAATATTTAATATAATAAAAACAAACCTGGCGCTTTGCAGGTCTCCTCTTGCAGGCAACAGCTTTCCGCCTACGTTCCACGACAGGTTTCTAATGCAAAGAAGGAAACCAAATAAACTTTGAAACTATATTTGGGGAAAAGCTCCTTTTGGGCGTAAGCAATTTTTAAAGAGTGTTAATTTCAGGAAGAAGCAGAAACCAACGGATACAATCTGAATGCAAATTACCGTTTCGTCATGTGGAACAGCGGTGTACTCAGGGGTAGGAAGATAGGAAGGGACAACAGCATCCATGACAGCCAACATGGAACTGCTGAACCTCACGGGGTTCAGCGGGATGAAGCACTCCTTCAGCGCGACAGGAGTAGCAACAAACTAACAAATAAAAAAACACATAATAAAACAGTATTACAGACAATTTCTCTCATCTATAATCAATGGACAAATAACCAATTAACCTATCATAACTGTTACTTTATGTAAAAGCATAACAAACCTGCTGTTGAACCTTCATCTTTTTCGGTGCACTAGAGCAGGGGTTCTCAAACTTTTTGGGGCCAAGGACCCCTTACAAGGGAGAAAAATTTCCAAGGACCCCCTTATAATCCTCATGCCGATTAAACATATGTTTACTATGACATTTGTACTCCTAGATGCCGTAGGTATTATTTATATTTTAAACTTTTTCAACCTAAATACTTAAAGTTAATTTCTATGAAACTTGCCTTAACAAAATAAATTTTAATAAATAAATGTTAATACCATTCTATACTTTTAAACACAGGGTCATTTTTATTCAGCATTTCTAATTTTCAAGTAACAGATCTTAAAGCTTTCAGAAAATGAACAGTAACAAGACTAGCAAAGTCCTAATGAACACAGGTAAAAGCTTACTTAAGTGGTTTAACCATAACATAATGAACTTATTGCCCCTTATTCAAATTATTGGCAGAAAACTGAACAACATCATAACAGTTTTAGTAATTAAGCCTAGTCATAAATATTTACATTAGGCTCTATCAAAGTCTTAAAACACACAAATCAATTCACACATCACTCACATCAATAACTCACTAAATTAGTGAGAAGGATGAGCCTGTCTCTCACAACATAGTTTATCTATTCTTGGAGTGATGGTTGACAAACAGACTCGAAGATCATCCTCCACTTGTAAACGAGCCCTGTACTTACTCTTCATTGCAGTCAAAGTGGAAAATGATGATTCACAGAGGTACGTTGTAGGAAAAGGGAGCAATATTTGCATGGCCTCAACAGTGAGTTCGGGATACTCATGTGAGAGGGAGGGCCAGAAGTTTGCCAGATTAACCTGCTGGAATCGGGCCTTCAATGTCCTATCACAGGATAAGTCCAACAGCTGCTCTTCTGCCTAACCTGTCAGGCCATTTGCTGTTGCAGCTGGTGCAAAGGGATCGCGCACCCAGTCCCAGGCATCAGTGTTCACATCGGAGAAGTATGAGCTGAAGTGCTCGCTCAGTGATGTGAGGTGTGAGGTCGCGACGTTCCTCACTGTGGCCACAGAAAGGTTGTTTGTGTGGAGAAACTCACTCAGTTGGGGGAACATGTCTGTTATTCCATCTTGCATCCTCCTTCTCCATAGGACTGTTTTCTTCATGAAGGCAGTGATTTTGTCGCTAACTTTCAGGATGGATGTGTGGCCTCCTTGGATGGAGAGGTTGAGGCTATTCAGTATGTTGAACTGTGATGTTGGGTTTTTCCTCTCTCATAAACTCTGCCATTTCTCTGCGTAACTCAAACACCCGCTGCAAAACTTTACCACGAGAGAGCCATCGCACCTCACAGTGATATAGCAGTGTGTCATGTCCAACATCCATATCCTGGCAAAGTTGTCCAAACAAACGGGATTGCAGTGCCCTTGACTTAGAAAAAAATTAACTGCAGTCACAGCTGTGTTCAAAACAGAGTGAAGATCTGGTTCCATGTCTTTGGAAGCGAGTGCTTGCCGGTGTAGCATACAGTGAGTTGCCATAATCCTCGGATTGACAGACTTTATCCGCGCCGTTACTCCACTCTTTCGGCCTGTCATCGCCGCTGCGCCATCCGTACAAACGGCCACACATTTCTCCCAACTCAGTCTCGCTTCAGTCATGAAAGCATCCAGCAGTCTGAATATTTCCTCACCTGTTGTCCTGCCTGGCACCTCCTTGCAGAACAGAAAGTCCACCAAAATGTCTCCTTCCCAGGGATAGCGCACCAAAACAATCAACTGAGCTGCACTGGAAATGTCTGTTGATTCATCCAGCTGAATAGAAAATTGCTCACATGAACGCTGTCTATCCAGTAGCTGTGACTGAATGTCAGCCGATAGTTCTTCGATTCTCCTTCTCACGGTGTCATTTGAAAGCGGTACAGCTTTCAGTTTATTAGTTGCCTCTGTCCCAAGCACAGCTTCACACATATCAACTGCCGCTGGAAGAAGAAGTTCTTGTCCAATTGAGTGTGGCTTCTTACTTTTTGCGATTCGTTGTGCCACCAAATATGAAGCCCTCTGTGCTTTTTCTGGAGTTGTGGCCAGGTTCACCAGTCGTGTCTTCTGAAGCATGTATTCCTCACTCTTTCGGCGGAAAAAATCTATTGTTTTGTCCTTAACCCCGGGTGCTTCGTCGTCAGATGCCGCTTTAGCTTGGCGGGCTTCATAGCTTCATTAGCTAGCACCTGAAGACACACGACACATTTTGGTCTTCCGTCGCTGTTCTGAATAAAACCAAGCTCGAGATAACTGTCGTCATATCTTCTCAGTTTAGCTGGTTTGGGCTTAGCATCACTCGATGAAGTGGACGGTCTTAAATAGGCATCCATCGCCGCTAGCTAAACATCAGCAAGTGCGTCCTGAGGAAAGTGATGCGAGTGAGTGATGTGTGTCAGATGATACAATCCTTTGAGAGTTTTGATTGGCCCAAAGCTAACGTAAGCGGGAGTAATTGGATCAGTATTTTTCTTTTATTGGCGCAGTGGTTCCCCTGTGTATTTACGCAATTTTTAAAGATACGGCATAACTTTAATAATTTAATGCATATTGTAACGGGCTGTGTATTCACTGTGGTTGTTTGTGTTCAGTTAGGTTGTGCTACAGGTACGGGTTGCGGGAGGTCTGAGGGGTGGCGATGTCAGAGGCTGTTAAGCCTGTCAGCCCGGACGGTTGCCATGGCAACGGGGTGTGTGAGAGAGCGCCGGTGATTGGTGCATGGTTCGTTGTTGTGGGGCTCCGGTGAGTGAGAGTTGGGAGAGACGTTGAGTGTTAATGTTGATAGCGATAGCTGCTGGCTTTATTGTTTTGGCGTTGGCTACGGCCTACAGTAGCCGGTGTTCAAGCTGTGGTGAATAAAGACAAGCTAAACCGGCTCCTGCTCCGTAGCACATTATTCCAGGTCGCTACAATATTATTTTGCGGACCCCCAAGCTATGGCTCGCGGACCCCCAGTTTGAGAACCGCTGCACTAGAGGACTGTGCAGGTTCCTCAGGTACCGGTACGTTCCTCTGTAATGAAAAACAGCAGATATGTTAAAAATAAGTACCCACTGACCATAACAGAAATAAACTGCTGGGAGAAAATCAGTCTCAACACCAAAATTACAGTGTGCAAATATTACCTTCCTGCCCCTCTCCACAGACGTCCACTCATAAGGGTTAGAGGGGCGAGGCACGATGACCTCTCCCCTCACAACGACCCTTGGAGTGATGTGACGAACAGGCAATGATCTCCTGGGAGCGGCCTGCGGTTTCGGTACAGGCGCCTCCAGTGACTCGTAAGCTGCAGCCCACAGCAAACGAGTGAGGACCACCATGACTTCGCCATCACTCAAGTGAACCTGAAAAAAAGTTAGAGTAATGTTTATGCTCAACATTTAGTGATCATAAAATGTACTCTCAATTTGCATCTGCTATGAACTGAACTGCTGCCATGTGTACATCAAACAAGACAAAGACCTGCTCAGAACAATTGTTCACTATTAAAGTACTTCTCCTCAAAATATCCTAACCTTTCAAATAAATGTACATTATACTGCAATAGCTCATGGAACCAAATTAACCCTAGTACGAAAAGGTGTAATAGTAAATACAATATAATCAATAACCTTTGTGTTCCAACCACTGCGGGCACTGTACAGGAGCTTCTGGAAGTCAGCTCCTGCCTCAAGGGGGGTCCGGCTGGCTGTCAGGTTGTTGCTGGGGTCCATGATGCAGACTGCGTCCGGGGTCCGAGGTACGTCAGCGTTGAGTAACTCGGTCCTCCGCTGGGACGCACAGGCCCCCGGTGTGGACATGACACCAAAGGAAAGCATTCCCTCTGGCATCGGCACGATCCTGTCTGCAATGGAGCGCAGATGGGACGCTCCTACAATAAGAACAAACTGGGGAGGGGGCACAGAAGGAATATCATTAGAATGAAAATCACTAATCAATCATCAGAGCAGATATTTTGTTTATAAATTGTGAACTGCATTACCTTCTTATCAGGAGACTCAGCTGGGATTACCAGTTTGTGTTGGCGGCCTGTGACTGAAACTGGCCATTTCCTCACACGATGGCATGTACCAGTGCCACGGCCTATTATAAAACACAGAAACAAACACAAAAATAAAACGTAATTAACCACTGCAAAATTAGTTATGACACATACACACCTTACACATATAGGCAGAATAGTTGAATGAATAAAACGTGTACTTCACGATTGGGCCACTGAGGTTCCACGTTAACCTTCTCGCGCTCTGCCTCTCTCCTCCGAGCAGCCTCAGAGCTACGAAAGGACTTGCCACGTGGCATCTAAAAGTATGCAAGAATAAATTATAATGACATTTAATCACTCACAAGACACGTTAAGGCAGGGGTGTCAAACTCATTTTGGTTCAGGGGCCACATACAACCCAATTTGACCTTAAGTGGGCCGGACCAGTAAAAGGCATAATTAATAATAATTAATGATACATAATATCAGGGTAACTTTCTCTTACAGTTAATAATGAAAACAACTTGTCAACATCTAGAAATTATTTTAAACTTACATACATTTTCACATACTGTGCAGTAAACCTGAACTAACTCACTGCAGCATACTAACTAAAGTGGGAGCTATTAGGAGTTTAGTCTCCTTTATGACAAAGTCATTTTGACTAATGAATGTTATAGTGGAACTCTTATCAGGCAAGGAATAGAGCAGCGTAACGTGTGTGTGGTAGAGGGAGAGAGAGAGAGAGAGAGAGCGTAAGTGAGCGCGGGAACTGCAGCAGAGCAGAGAAGTATTTTCAGAGAGGTTATCAGGTCTAACAGTAAATGTACAGTGTGAGTTACAGTTATCGGTGAATAAAGTTTAATAAAACATTGTGCAATGTTCAGTACCCTAACTTTTCCCCGCCCCGCGGGCCGGAATGAACCCGGATTATAATTTGCTCTCTTTAAGGCTACAATGCTCACATAATTAAATTTTAAATAATCACCTAAATGTACTATAAATATGAAGAGTAAAAGTAGTCATTGTGCAGTACAGTGCTCACTGTTGTACTATTATACATGATGCTGTGGATTATATGTTCAATTTGACTACTGTAGGAGTTTAGTCATTTTAACTACAGTAAAACTTCCAATAAAAGCAGGGTCCCTAATACACACAGGTCTACTTTAAAAGGCTGCTGTGGCTCCACGCAGGTCTGCAATGATGAATGAAATGATCCGCATGTAGTAAAACGCACAGACTCAGAGCTTCAGAGGGTTTTAAACCGTTTCAATGTCCTACACAAATATAAATGTTTAAACTTCTGTCAATATGTACATAATGCACATCATTAGATCATTAGTTATAGAGTCTCCACAATTCAATCGCTCACTTCATTTTACGGAAACTATAAACACCAAAGTATAACGTTAATTCATTCGGACTTTCCGGTAACACGGTAAACAACAGAGACGGAAAAAAACTCTAAAGCGGGAATAAAGTCTGTACGGTCTGTGTCCGTTCCTCCATTATTTATATCCCTTTAACCCGTAAGAGTCCATGTATAGTTCGTCACTCACGGTCTGTTTACTGTCTGTACGCCGGCCCGCTGACGTAAATATGCAGCTGCCGTAAAGCGACGTTCACGTTCACTGTCATGGCTGCGGCACATATAAAACAGCAGTACGAGCTAAAATGTACCGTAAGTTACGTATTACCTGTGAAATGTGCCATATGAAAGTGAAGAGAAGCAGTACAGTTAGAGAATATTTCCATATGTGCTGAGCAACAGTCAAATAAACGCAGGTTCCCAATTCAGTGTTTTAAGCAAATACATGCCGCAGAATTATTAAAAGTTTTACGGTATTTTATTTACTGTTAGTGCTTTGTTCAGCAATGCATCATATTCATTAACATAATCATAAATTCGTATCAAAAATACAGATTGTAATTTTTAAAATTAAACTCACCGTAGAAGGCAAATCCTCTGCTTCCAAAGTCAATGAAAGTGGTGAATGTGTGTGTGTGTGTATATATATATATATATATATATATATCTCCAACTCTCTCAATATCTCTCAGTATCTCTCAGTATCTCTCAATATCTCTCAGTATCTCTCAGTATCTCTCAGTATCTCTCAATATCTCTCAGTATCTCTCAATATCTCTCAGTATCTCTCAGTATCTCTCAGTATCTCTCAGTATCTCTCAGTATCTCTCAATATCTCTCAGTATCTCTCAGGGTTTGCGTACACAAAAACAGCTCCGTATCTCTCTCTCTGTTGTTGTGCTAGCAATAACGACAGTTAGCTTACGGGGAACCTATATAGGCTACTGGCGACATTCGAAAAATTCCGTTCAACCAATCAGAACGCGGTACAGGAAAGTGGGTGGATCATTACAATGAACTGTGTTGTACAATCATGTGAAACTGGACATTAATTATCTGATAAAAATGTTTAGGAGTACTAATACAATGTTTTATAATTTTCAGAAATAAAGGTATATGTGTCTGTTAATTTATTTTAGCTAAAATAAAAGATATAGCCTAAACCCTCAACCCAGCATGAAATGGTTCATAATAGAATGTCAAAATAAATGTCGTATTGAGTACTTTAATTATAAACTATGTAATGGATTTTTAAGTAATTTAGTACCATAAACACAAAAGCACTGAATGGTAATATGGTTTAAGTACATTCAATATTATTATTAATAAAATTGCAGTTTACAACCTCCCCATTCACTTATTGATTTGTTTACATTAAATAAACACTATCAAATTAATGACGGCTACAGACACTAATAAATTAAATAATTTTAGCATATTCATATACATCTACTCCAAAGTTATATGTGTTGTCAACAACACAAGACTGTGTGAAAAACTCTCAATTTTCCTGTGGTGACCTATCAACACATGGCTAATTTTAATATTCAAATGAGCCATGTGTTCACAACAGGCACTCATGCACAGTTGCTAGGTTACCACCAGGCTGTCAATCAAGCTCTCAGCCACAGAGAACTTAATGTTACCCTTTATCTATCCAGATAAAAACATTAAGAACAGTTTCTGTATGATGTTTATTAGACCTATGTAATCTGAATGGGAAGGGCAGTTGTGATGAGCTGTATCTCGTATATTATTATTAGGTATGTGGTATGTGTATGCACCGTTATATAATATGGTGGAAAACCATTAAAATTTAAAACCAGATCATACCAATAAAATATCTGCTTGCGTGTCCCCAAGCCTGTGTATTCTTCACCCATTCAAACACAGAAATACAATATTACTGTGCAGCTGTTTCTTTACTGCCAACTAAAGCTTGTTTATTAATACTTCAACATATCGGGAGATAGGATGTGTTTTCTGTGGTACAACATTTCTGGACATATGACACAAACCTTGACAAGACATGAACCTCTTATTTTATGAAAGTTTTAAATGCTTAATAACCACAGAAACGATTTCAAATTTTGGAAAAATCTTTATTTTAATTTTTTTTAATTGCCCGGAGCATCCTCATGCTCCTCCTCGTCCTCCTGCTCTGTGTGCTGGTGCTGCTGGCCCGGATCGGGCTGCTGCTCTGCGTCTGCACACATGGACACAGATACAAACAAATCTTCATTTTATCAGTCTTCGATCCAATTAATAAAGAATAAAAATATATTCACTCACTCAACAAGCAGACTTATGATCAGTTGAATGTTAAATCTTAATCTATTATTACACAAACACACATTATCTGTAGCATGAAAACCACAAAAAACACGAACACTTGCTGAGAGGAACCGCAAACACCATTCGGAGGTCCTCTACCTGACCGTCAGCCAGCCGAACATCTCCGTGGTCAAACCAGCCGCACGTAAATTTCAAGTGTGCGATTATTCTCAGCATTACGGTAAATGCGAAGAAACAGTGCATTCCTTCGGGTTTTCAAAATAAAGGTATTAGAATATTAAGGTTAATTCGAACCTACATTTAAAATAAAATATGTTGCATTAAAGTTTCCATGCGCCCATGATGAATAAAAACACCTCGTATCGAGTATCTTTACTGCCAGTGTGGATAAATGTAAAAATAAAATCCCATATTTATGCCTCCAGAGATTGCATATTTGACCATATTTGAGGTACTGTAAAAACATATTGCTCTATAATTCATAACTATGTATGATATATTTGACTTCCACACGTCTAAGACTACACACACACTCAATATCAAGCATTTTTACTGTAGCAATTTGGAGAAATTCAACAATAAAAGTCCTTATTTTTACCTCCAAGTGGCACACTTTACCATATTTGAGCTACTGTAAAATAATATTGCTCAATATTTCATGGCTATGGATGATGTACTTGACTTCTACACATCTAAGACTACACACACACTCAATATCAAGCATTTTTACTGTAGCAATTTGGAGAAATTCAACAATAAAAGTCCTTATTTTTACCTCCAAGTGGCACATTTCACCATATTTGAGCTACTGTAAAAACATATTGCTCAATATTTCATGGCTAAGGATGGTATATCTGACTTCTGCACATCTACGACTACACACACACTCAATATCAAGCACTTTTACTGCAGCAATTTGGAGAAATTCAACAATAAAGTCCTTATTTGTACCTCCAAGTGGCACATTTCACCCTATTTGAACTACTGTAAAATAATATTGCTCAATATTTCATGGCTATGGATGGTATATCTGACTTCTACACATCTAACACTACACATATACTCAATATCAAGCACTTTTACTGCAGCAATTTGGAGAAATTCAACAATAAAAGTCCATATTTTACCTCCAAGTGGCATATTTGACCACATTTGAGCTATGTAAAATAATATTGCTCAATATTTCATGGCTATGGATGGTATATCTGACTTCTACACATCTAAACTACACACAACTCAATATCAAGCATTTTTACTGTAACAATTTGGAGAAATTCAACTATAAAAGTCCTTATTTTTACCTCCAAGTGGCACATTTCACCATATTTGAGCTACTGTAAAATAATATTGCTCAATATTTCATGGCTATGGATGGTATATCTGACTTCTACACATCTAAACTACACATAACTCAATATCAAGCACTTTTACTGCAGCAATTTGGAGAAATTCAAAACAAAAGTCCATATTTTACCTCCAAGTGGCATATTTCACCATATTTGAGCTACTGTAAAATAATATTGCTCAATATTTCATGGCTAGGATGGTATATCTGACTTCTACACATCTAAGACTACACATAACTCAATATCAAGCACTTTTACTGCAGCAATTTGGAGAAATTCAACAATAAAGTCCATATGTGTACCTCCAAGTGGCATATTTGACCACATTTGAGCTACTGTAAAATAATATTGCTCAATATTTCATGGCTATGGATGGTGTATTGACTTCTACACATCTAAACTACACACACACTCAATATCAAGCACTTTTACTGTAGCAATTTGGAGAAATTCAACAATAAAGGTCCTTATTTTTACCTCCAAGTGGCACATTTTACCATATTTGAGCTACTGTAAAATAATATTGCTCAATATTTCATGGCTATGGATGGTATATCTGACTTCTACACATCTAACACTACACATATACTCAATATCAAACACTTTTACTGCAGCAATTTGGAGAAATTCAACAATAAATGTCCTTATTTTTACGTCAAAGTGGCACATTTGACCATATTTGAGCTACTGTAAAATAATATTGCTCAATATTTCATCGCTATGCATGATGTACTTGACTTCTACACATCTAAGACTACACACACACTCAATATCAAGCATTTTTACTGTACCAATTTGGAGAAACCTAAGAATAAATGTCCATATTTGTACCTCCAAGTGGCACATTTCACCCTATTTGAACTACTGTAAAATAATATTGCTCAATATTTCATGGCTATGGATGGTATATCTGACTTCTACACATCTAAGACTAAACATATACTCAATATCAAGCACTTTTACTGTACCAATTTGGAGAAATCTAAGAACAAATGTCCATATTTGTACGTCCAAGTGGCATATTTCACAATACTTGAGCTACTGTAAAATAATATTGCTCAATATTTCATGGCTATGGATGGTGTACTTGACTTCTACACATCTGACACTGCACATATACTCAATATCAAACACTTTTACTGCAGCAATTTGGAGAAATTCAACAATAAAGGTACTTATTTTTACCTCCAAGTGGCACATTTCACCATATTTGAGCTACTGTAAAATAATATTGCTCAATATTTCATGGCTATGGATGGTGTACTTGACTTCTACACATCTAAGACTACACACACACTCAATATCAAGCACTTTTACTGTACCAATTTGGAGAAATCTAAGAACAAAAGTCCATATGTGTACCTCCAAATGGCATATTTGAGCTACTGTAAAATAATATTGCTCAATATTTCATGGCTATAGATGGTGTACTTGACTTCTACACATCTAAGACTACATTTGGAAATGTATATAGTCACACTTGTTTTAAGGAAATTCATAGAGTATTTTTAATTTTTCAGAAAAACATATATCATCTGAATGTCAACAAACTGTTTTTACTGTTGAGGTTCACAATGGGCCATTTTTTAAAGCAAAGTTATACTTTAAAAACATTGAAAAATAACATTAATTGGCCTAAATGAATTAAATACTATACGGGCCCTAACTTCATCACAGTTATGCCCCGTAGTATGTAACGCTAATTCAATGCTGTAAAATGCATTTAATTAGTGTGAAATGGTCATATCAACAAAGATGAGAGTGGTGGATAGCCACAGAACCAATTTGTTATTTTAAGGTAAGAAGTCAAAGGACCTTTGACAATGGCCATGCATGTTTGTTCATCATTAAAATGTGGCATCATTTCCCAAAGTTATGTAGCGTCTACCGACAAGTAAGCATTACATTCTTGATCCTAGTGGTTGCCTTATGTCTTATATTTCAATATTATATCATTACATTATAAACTACGCTTCGGCCTCATAAAGAAAACAATGTCTGACAAGGACGTCGATGACCTTGCAGAGTTTAAGCAATTTAAAAGCTAAGTAAAAAGTTCAAATTCAGAGTTTCTTCATAAAATAAAATAAAATAATTAGTAAAGCAATACTTACCCGCTCTTTCCAGGCATTTTCATGTAATAAACGTGTAATACACAAGCAGGTCAGTAAATTATCCGTTAGGACGTATCACTCTGTTTGTGTGATGTCTTCTCCAACAACAACCTGTCTCAAGGTATTATGGGGGATTTCTCGTGTAGGTGTGAAAAAACACCAAGATCTGTCGCTCCACTTGAAGTTAAAAATCATTACAGGTCTATCCAAACCTTTTATAATTAGCCCATCTTTGATAGGATGGCTTAAAAAATAAATGTAATTTATTAACGATATCTGCAAGACATACTCAACTATATAAATAAAAGTTACTTTCTAAAGTTATGTATTTATCGAAAAACATTTTACTCTTGAAAGTATAAAATACAGATACAGTATACAGTATATCGGCCAGGAAATATTGAGCAATGTGTTTTTACAGTAGTTCAAACATGGGAAAATATGCTCTATATATCTAGATCTGTAGATAGAACTATGGGACTTTTATTGTTGAATTTCTCCAAATTGCTGCAGTAAAAGTGCTTGATATTGAGTATGTGTGTAGTCTTACATGTGCAGAAGTCAAATATACCATTCATAGCCATGAAATATTGAGCAATATTATTTTACAGTAGCTCAAATGTGGTCAAATGTGCCACTTGGAGGTATACATATGGACTTTTATTGTTGAATTTCTCCAAATTGCTGCAGTAAAAGTGCTTGATATTGAGTGTGTGTGTAGTCTAAGATGTGTAGAAGTCAAATACACCATCCATAGCCATGAAATATTGAGCAATATTATTTTACAGTAGCTCAAATGTGGTGAAATGTGCCACTTGGAAGTAAAAATAAATACATTTATTGTTGAATTTCTCCAAATTGCTACAGTAAAAATGCTTGATATTGAGTGTGTGTGTAGTCTTAGATGTGTAGAAGTCAAGCACACCATCCATAGCCATGAAATATTGAGCAATATTATTTTACAGTAGCTCAAATATGCCATTTGATGGTACACATATGCGAACTTTTTTTGTCTCTTAGATTTCTCCAAAATTGGTACAGTAAAAGTGCTTGATATTGAGTGTGTGTGTAGTCTTAGATGTGTAGAAGTCAAGTACACCATCCATAGCCATGAAATATTGAAGAATATTATTTTACAGTAGCTCAAATATGGTGAAATGTGCCACTTGGAAGTAAAAATAAGTACATTTATTGTTGAATTTCTCCAAATTGCTGCAGTAAAAGTGCTTGATATTGAGTATATGTGTAGTGTTAGATGTGTAGAAGTCAGATATACCATCCATAGCCATGAAATATTGAGCAATATCATTTTACAGTAGCTCAAATATGGTGAAATGTGCCACTTGGAGGTACAAATAAGGACATTTATTGTTGAATTTCTCCAAATTGCTGCAGTAAAAGTGCTTGATATTGAGTATATGTGTAGTGTTAGATGTGTAGAAGTCAGATATACCATCCATAGCCATGAAATATTGAGCAATATTATTTTACAGTAGCTCAAATATGGTGAAATGTGCCACTTGGAGGTAAAAATAAGTACCTTTATTGTTGAATGTCTCCAAATTGCTGCAGTAAAAGTGCTTGATATTGAGTGTGTGTGTAGTCTAAGATGTGTAGAAGTCAAGTACACCATCCATAGCCATGAAATATTGAGCAGTATTATTTTACAGTAGCTCAAATATGGTAAAGTGTGCCACTTGGAGGTAAAAATAAGGACTTTTATAGTTGAATTTCTCCAAATTGCTACAGTAAAAATGCTTGATATTGAGTGTGTGTGTTTAGATTAAAGAACCAAAATTGAGCAATAATACAACATAAAAAAAGACTTATATTGAATTTCTCCAAATTCTACAGTAAAAATGCTTGATATTGATGTGTGTAGTCTTAGATGTGTAGAAGTCAAGTACACCATCCATAGCCATGAAATATTGAGCAATATTATTTTACAGTAGCTCAAATATGGTAAAGTGTGCCACTTGGAGGTAAAAATAAGGACTTTTATAGTTGAATTTCTCCAAATTGCTACAGTAAAAATGCTTGATATTGAGTGTGTGTGTAGTCTTCGATGTGTAGAAGTCAAGTACATCATCGATAGCCATGAAATATTGAGCAATATTATTTTACAGTAGCTCAAATGTGGTCAAATATGCCACTTGGAGGTACAAATATGAACTTTTGTTCTTACATTTCTCCAAATTGCTGCAGTAAAAGTGCTTGATATTGAGTATATGTGTAGTGTTAGATGTGTAGAAGTCAGATATACCATCCATAGCCATGAAATATTGAGCAATATTATTTTACAGTAGCTCAAATATGGTGAAATGTGCCACTTGGAGGTAAAAATAAGTACCTTTATTGTTGAATGTCTCCAAATTGCTGCAGTAAAAGTGCTTGATATTGAGTGTGTGTGTAGTCTAAGATGTGTAGAAGTCAAGTACACCATCCATAGCCATGAAATATTGAGCAATATTATTTTACAGTAGCTCAAATATGGTAAAGTGTGCCACTTGGAGGTAAAAATAAGGACTTTTATAGTTGAATTTCTCCAAATTGCTACAGTAAAAATGCTTGATATTGAGTGTGTGTGTAGTCTTAGATGTGTAGAAGTCAAGTACACCATCCATAGCCATGAAATATTGAGCAATATTATTTTACAGTAGCTCAAATATGGTAAAGTGTGCCACTTGGAGGTAAAAATAAGGACTTTTATAGTTGAATTTCTCCAAATTGCTACAGTAAAAATGCTTGATATTGAGTGTGTGTGTAGTCTTCGATGTGTAGAAGTCAAGTACATCATCGATAGCCATGAAATATTGAGCAATATTATTTTACAGTAGCTCAAATGTGGTCAAATATGCCACTTGGAGGTACACATATGGACCTTTATTGTTGAATTTCTCCAAATTGCTGCAGTAAAAGTGCTTGATATTGAGTATATGTGTAGTCTTAGATGTGTAGAAGTCAGATATACCATCCTTAGCCATGAAATATTGAGCAATATTATTTTACAGTAGCTCAAATATGGTGAAATATGCCACTTGGAGGTACAAATATGAACTTTTGTTCTTACATTTCTCCAAATTGCTGCAGTAAAAGTGCTTGATATTGAGTATATGTGTAGTGTTAGATGTGTAGAAGTCAGATATACCATCCATAGCCATGAAATATTGAGCAATATCATTTTACAGTAGCTCAAATATGGTAAAGTGTGCCACTTGGAGGTAAAAATAAGGACTTTTATAGTTGAATTTCTCCAAATTGCTACAGTAAAAATGCTTGATATTGAGTATGTGTGTAGTGTTAGATGTGTAGAAGTCAGATATACCATCCATAGCCATGAAATATTGAGCAATATTATTTTACACTAGCTCAAATGTGGTCAAATATGCCACTTGGAGGTAAACATATGGACTTTTATTGTTGAATTTCTCCAAATTGCTGCAGTAAAAGTGCTTGATATTGAGTATATGTGTAGTGTTAGATGTGTAGAAGTCAGATATACCATCCATAGCCATGAAATATTGAGCAATATTATTTTACAGTAGCTCAAATATGGTGAAATGTGCCACTTGGAGGTACAAATAAGGACATTTATTGTTGAATTTCTCCAAATTGCTGCAGTAAAAGTGCTTGATATTGAGTGTGTGTGTAGTCGTAGATGTGCAGAAGTCAGATATACCATCCTTAGCCATGAAATATTGAGCAATATTATTTTACAGTAGCTCAAATATGGTAAAGTGTGCCACTTGGAGGTAAAAATAAGGACTTTTATTGTTGAATTTCTCCAAATTGCTACAGTAAAAATGCTTGATATTGAGTGTGTGTGTAGTCTTAGATGTGTAGAAGTCAAGTACATCATCCATAGCCATGAAATATTGAGCAATATTATTTTACAGTAGCTCAAATATGGTAAAGTGTGCCACTTGGAGGTAAAAATAAGGACTTTTATTGTTGAATTTCTCCAAATTGCTACAGTAAAAATGCTTGATATTGAGTGTGTGTGTAGTCTTAGACGTGGGAAGTCAAATATATCATACATAGTTATGAATTATAGAGCAATATGTTTTACA